AAAATCTGTGAGCTGATTTAATAATTCTCGTGCCAGAAAAGAGTGATTTAGCCAGTCACTCCTGTTGGGAGGAATTTACAATGTCAAGAAGCCAGTGCAGTCTCTTCCCACACTTACTACCAATCTTTATTGAGTCTGCAAAGTAGTGAGGAATAATGTACACACTAGTAATAGTGAATTAAATAGCAACAGGAATTTCAGTATCTGGGAATTGCTGGATGGTAGTGTTGTGTTACCAGTATTGATGCATTATACAACTACATTAGCAGAGTGGTCCTAAGACTGCCTTTATCGCATGACAAGGAGCTATCTCCCGAACTTTCCTTGAGCAGCACTTGAAAGTTGGCACAGGCCAGGGATCAGTCCCGAGACAGATTTGCAAGTGGACACCCTGCTGTGGAACCTGAGAGAGTTTAATTCAAAGTAGCATAGTTGGATTGTAACTCTAGGCCAGAGAACAGACTCTGGCACAGTTGGGTTTGTTAGCATCAATTTAACCAGAGAGCAGTAGGGTGAGGTACATGAAGTATGGCTGTTCTCTGCTGCTGCTCCTGTGCTGGGTAATTCCCTCAAGGAAACAATTTGATGATTAACATGACACTGCAGATGCCCCAACATCTGCTAGGACTGTGCGGTTTGGTCCAAAGACTGAAGGAGCTGGCACACTTTGGTTCAGAAGGGAACCTGGTTGTGCTAAGAAATGCACATGGTATCGAGTCCTTTAATTTATGAAGAGAGCTCCTGGGGTTGCTCTGTTTCTTCACTGGCATCTGAGCATGACTCTCAGCCTGGAACACTGCTTTGCACAATTACTTTTTTTCTTCAGAATTTTAAATCTGAACCAATTACTGTCTGTTTTTATTTCCTTTGTTTGTTGAAGCAGAACTAACTGCAAAATAGAGAATTTTTGCTACTGATCCACTAAAATTAAGAACTGTGGGCTTTTTCACATGCCACTCGTGTGTGAAAAGACACTGTCTGCATGTTCTGTCCTTGTGAGATTTTTTGTGTTCTGAGCACAAATCATCATTTCAATAATGTGGGCTAAGGAGGAGAAAAAACAGGTTTAATTAAAAAGCACTTTAGAAAAAAAACAACTGCGTCAGAAAGCTGGAGGGTGTAATGTAGGAACCTCAGTGCAAAATATCATGGGGAAGATGAAAGATCTAAGTGAAGAGTCTTCCTCTTTTTCTCTTTAGAAAACTGTTACTTGATTTAAAGCCCACTCCTTGGCTCACAAGGTTTTCAATGGGTCTGAGGCTGCAAAATTATCAGTTGAAATTGCTTCCTTAGAATCAACTCAGTGACCCTCATGCCATGGACTAGCCTTTGAGGCTAATATCATAGACAGATTTTTTTCTCAAGGATTTCAAATTAAACTGAGTGGCTTTCAGCTGTGTTTAAACACCACTTGTGAAACTCAGCCCTGGGCCTAAGATGTTTCATTTCAGTTAGGTTTCATTCTAGTTCATGTTTTTCTTGCACAGAAGTTGTGTTTTACCTCTGCCAAGAGAGTCCAACCAGCATTTCTCACGGGACACACAGCCTCGTTTTACAAAATGCAGCCCTGAAGGTTCCTGCAGCTGGAGCTGAGAGCTGCTGCCTTGCAAAGGTGTCATGGGACAGTGGTCCCTGGGAAAACAGGTCAAGGGGAGTGGAGGACCAAGAGTGGGGGCTGGTGTTTCACACAGAGCAGAGTTCAACTTGTTTCTGTGTGAGGCAGTGTTTTCCCCTGCCAGGTCCTACTACAGAGGCAGAATATCACCTACCGAGCCAAAGCTCCGTGCCATGCAGGGGCTTGCAGGTCTTGCCAAGTATTGTTTAAAGCCAGCAGCTCAAAGAGGAAGAGAGAAAGATACAGAGTTATCTTAGCAAAGACAAGAAACCATTAAGTATACTCTAAATTGCTGTCTTTGTGTTTCCAGAACATTTCTCACTTGTAACACAAATTGCAAGATACCACCTATTTTGTAGCAGAGAACAAAAGTCTCCGACAGAGTATATTTTGTTTTGAGCATCTGCTAAGAAAGAGGCTCCCAATTATCAGCAACATTGGAAAGATGACTAATTTTAATAAACATTTCTGAGGAAAAATAAATATATTCCACATGACTTACTGAATATAAAGCTTGAAAATTTTGAGGAACAGGAATACATGCAAACACATATTTTTACATCATCAGGCCCAACCTCCCTGCCACCTCACACGAGACCAGGCTGTACAAAACCTCATTCTACCTGGCCTTGAACACCTCTAGGGAGGGGACTTCTACAACCTCCCTGGGTGACCTATTTGAGCACCTTACTACCCTCATGGTGAAGAATTTCTTCCTAATCTCTAACCTAAATCTCCCCTCTCTCAGTTTAAAACCATTACCCCTTGTCCTGTCACTGCCCTCTCTGGTGAAAAGCCCCTCCCCAGCTTTCCTGTAGCCCCTTCAGGTACTGGAAGGTGCTCTAAGGTCTCCCCGGAGCCTTCTCTTCCCCAGGCTGAACAGCCCCAACTCTCTCAGCCTGTCTCCACAGCAGGGGTGCCCCAGCTTTTTGATCATCTTGGTGGCCCTGCTCTGGACCCTTCTCCATCAGCTCCATGCCTTTCTACAAAGTACTCCAGGTGGGGTCTGACCAGAGCAGAGTAGAGGGGCAGAATCCCCTCCCTGTCCCTGCTGGCCACACTTCTTTTGATGCAGCCCAGGATGTGTTTGGCTCTCTGGGCTCCAGCACACACTGGTGGCTCTTGTCGAGCTTCTCATCAACTACCACCCCCAAGTCCTTCTCCTCAGGGCTGCTCTCCAGCCATTCTCCCCCCAGCCTGTATCTGTGCCTGGGGTTGCACTGACCCAGGTGCAGCACCCTGCACTTGGCCTTGTCGAACTTCATGAGGTTGGCACTGGCCCCACCTCTCCAGCCTGTTGAAGTCCCTCTGGAGGGCATCCCTTCCCTCCAGGGTGTCAACTACTCCACACAGCTTGATATCATCAGCAAACTTGCTGAGGACACACTCAATCCCACTGTCCATGTCTCCAACAAAGATGCTGAACAGCCCTGGTCCCAGTACTGACCCCTGAGGGACACCACTTGTCACCTGCCTCCATTGGGACATTGATATATATATATAATCAAGTAAAATATATATATATTGACCCTTAGTGCTGGCTTTCTCCCATCCAGTAGCAAAATAAATACATAGGGAAAACATATTAATAATGTATCTCCATAGTTTCCAGGTCCTTGGTAAATACAGAAATGAACAAACCAGTATAGTTTTATTACTATTAATTTTTATTAGGTAAATGTATCTGTTACAAATTAAGCAAACATTCCTAACACAAAAAAAAAAAACAAAACACTTTTTTCAAGATTTTTTCTACTGTGAACATTATGTGATGATGCCATATATCTCATACAAATTGTGCATTCATTCCAAAAGAGTAACATTATCTGATTACCTGGTAGACGAATTTTAGTTTGAAGGCATGCCAGAATTCTACTAAAATGCTTATTAAAATAACATGGGCTCAGGTTTTGAAAACTTATGTGGTGCAAACCTGACTCAAGTTCCTAAAGAAACAATAAAACTCCTCAGTTGACAGGTCATTAAAGCTAATATTTTCAGTGGTTGATGCATAACATTTAAAAATCACAAGTCATCATCATCAAGTATCAACATGCATTTTTCATAGCAAGATGTGGTTTACATACACCAGGAGTATGTACAAGGACATACAAATTCATAGGGCAGATTTTGATTTATTTGCTCTACTGTCATGCTACTAGTATCTATATCCAATATAGAAGAATTAAAAGTTTTCCTAACCCCACCTTCTTGTTATACATTAATGACAGGAAATGTCTGGTTAAAATGTAATGTCTGATAAAATGTAATTTGTATTTCATATGCTTCTGTGTTGAGAGCCAGAATGTGCAGAAGATACTTTCAAACTTCAGTATTGCCTTAGTGAATTTGATGTTGATTCTGATCAAAAGAAAACAGCAAGACAGGATTTCAAATACCCAGATTCTGAAAAGCTGGTGGCAAGTGCTGAAGAATGGCCTAGTTTACTGTGACCAGAATTTCTGAGCCAACCAGCATTTGTTGTCACCAGTTAAATATTGAACTGAGTTAGCTGCTGTGGTGCCAGGCTGCAATGCCTTTTCCTGAAACACTGGTTCTTGGAAGGCTGGTAGGAAGACTGTATCAATAACCTCACTGTTAAGTAAATGTGCATTATGAAAGGTACCTCCTTCCAAAAGAGCTCCAAATTCTGCAAAGCATGTGTTTTTTCTGTTTGGGCTGTTGGCATATCCCAATTTCTCCAGCATATACACCTCTGCTTTGACACCTTGCGTTCAGTTATATTAGGTTTTGACAATTTGAAGGCTAGGAAGAAACATTGCATTTCCCCTGTCTTATCCCCTCCACACTCCAGGCTAAACTACCTTTGCTTCAAGCGGCTACTAAGGCAAGGATTACTATAACTCTATTTTAAAGAGAGAGAGAGAAAGAGCAGAAATATGTACTAAAAATCTGTGAAAAGAATACCAGATCTATCTTCAGAGGTTTGAGAAGGGAATGCAATAAACCTGTACCCTTGACATCTTTATTTTCACTTTTTTTTTTTTTTTTTCTATTTGTAAAGTTCACTCTAGTCCAGTAAAAACTTCTTCCTTTAAATCTAGTCTCAGCTGAGCCTACTTGTAATTAATTCAGGCCTGTTTCCTTGATGCAAACTTAAATTTGCATGTAATAATAATGGAAAAAATGAACAGGAAAACATTAATCAAGTGAATAGAAAAACATGAATCAATTGTTTGACTCCTGACATATATGTAACCCAAGTATCTTTACAGACAAATTTCACTTTACTGGATAAGCTGCTCTCTGAACTATTTAAAAGCTTTTTTCTTTGTTTTTCACTTACTCTGGAGAAGACAGCAATAGCAACATTTAGTGATTCATTAGATACAACCTAAATGACAACACATCTTATATGAATGTGTGTCTCAACTACCCAATGTATTTACCCCATCTTTGATAAACAAGTAGCAACACATTGCATCAAAACAAGCCTTCTTGATCTTTCAGCGTCTTAACGCTAATCCACAGTCCAGAGAAAAATACCAGTTCCAAAGAAGTTTCCTTAGATAAGCATCTATTGGGTTGTTTCTTTTTTTTTTTTTTTTTTTTTTTTTTTTGGTTTCAAAAAGAAGAAAGCCAGCAAATGTGGAGAAACGTTGATGGTCTCCATGGAGGGCTCCATTTCCCATTCTGAGCCAGACTTCATCTCCCTTGGCAAGTTTTAGCACTGCACTGTTTCCTGAAGTGTCTGCTTTCCCTTTGGATTCATAGCTAAGGATGAATATTTCAACAAGTCAGCTTTTTGTTTCTCAACAATCATCAAGGAGATAACTTAAAAAAAAAATAAAGAGTCCAAGAAAGAATATTGCTATGCTGAGCAACACTTCCTTGAAGGGCCAACGTTTTTTTCAGCTTTATGAGAAAACCTTGGCGTCTTTCTGCATTTGACGACATAGTAAAATTTTGCACCTTACCTCACTGCATCATTGCATTCCTTTCTGAAATTCTGGAAGTTTAACTTCGTGTACGTTTTCACAGGGCTTAGGAATGAAATTGTTGTTTAAATAAAGTTCTGCTCATTCATTGTAACACTCTAGATTTCCTGTGATGGTCTTTTTCACTTGGAATCATCCCAGCTAATTCTAAATGCCTCCAGGTCAGGAGCAGCTCATTCCATCCTGAGGCTTTTTGATGAAATGTAGATATGTTTGATGTGGGCTAACCTCCTGGCTTTCTGTGAGTGTTGGTTCCCTTTCTTCCACCTGCTGCCTTTTCTGACATCAGTGCTTCAGGGAAAAACAACTGACCACTTTTTCTTTTGTGGGAAACATCTATTTCAAATCAAGCACCCTTTGGTTGTGCATCAGGTAGGGGCTGTTGAAGAATCTTCACAGCTTAAATGAACCTGCTACCATCCAAGTGCCTAAAATCCAGTGCAATGAATCTAAGCTTTTGTGTCTGTTTATTAAGGCTCAGTAGAAAAGCTGAGTTTTGACATCAGACCCCTGGTTTGTATTAAAGAAATAATAGAATTTTTCCAAACATTTTTTTCAGATATCCATCTGGCTATGAGCTTTGACATAGTCTGATAAGCTAGAATTAAATCCTATTCTTCTTGATCCTCCAGCTAACAGAAAGAGTTCAGGAACCTTTTATTCCAAGTGTACAAATGATAAAAAAGCCAATAAATGGAAGACCTTACTACTGCAGTTTAAATGCTCTCCATCCTTAAAGTAAATGGCTCTTCCTTAAGCTGTAACAAGACTATTACTAGTCTGACAGGCACAATGAGAATGAAGATGTTTTCTAGCAGAATGACAGCATGTTTCCACTGGACTACTACTCTGACTTGTACTGCTCATTCCTTTCCCCTGAGCTTTAAGGGCCTTGTGATCAAGGCTGAATTTTACGTCCACAGTCTGTGGCAGGTACAATCCAAATTTGCAAGCTGAAGAGGGCAAAATACAATAGTTTTTCTTTGTTGGTTATTTTT